CCACCGACTGTCTCGTCGAGCTATATTTTGTGGTGTAGTAGGTTGGAAGAAAGCTAGGGCCAGCCAAACCAAAACATGGCAGAAATCCATGAAGTCACTGACAAGTGGACTGAGCCATGTCGGTAGGTGTCGACTACCTGGTTAGGGTCCGCGAGATGCTAGTAATCGATGGTTAGAGACCCTGAATGACATGACTCGAAACCGTTTGCAATGGCGCAGGTGCAATTATTGTGTTCTCTCAAATCCAAATCTTCTGAGTTCCTCCTCACTTTATCTTTATCTTTCTAAGTCTATTTCACGAGATCCTACTTTTTGAATAATATCTAACCCCAATCTCTTTGATTTCGGCTAATACCTTACTACCTCTTCTACTATTGGATTTAAATTGACAATTATATCTCTGTGCTGATGTGGTATGGCAACATTAACTGATATACGTACGTACGTATGTACGAAGTTCTACGTTGCTATTGATTGATTAAACTACTGCTCAGAGAACTATTTCATCCTAGTCTATGACTCCTCAGAAGCGGAAAAATTATGACCAAATAAGGACTGGGTTCATAACTTTTAGGTCTCGCAACGGATACAATACCTGTGAATTATTCAATTATAAATTATTGGTCCGCAATTACAATTCCAACCAATTACTGATATAGTGCAATCGTTAGTTAGGCTTCCTGATTAGAAGTTTGAAAATTCCTGTCGAATTGAGGGCGTCAGTGTCGTGATTTAGCTGTAGGTGCGTACTACTGATGAACAGCAAGCTAGGATAAGATAGTTGTTTAGTGTGCCCTCCATTTTATTTGATTCTCTAGCTATCAGTCAGTGAAAGGAAATAACCTGGAATTTCAAACATTTTACAAACCTTTCACCTCAATAATTTTGCAGTAAGCAACACTACCATGAAGTCACTGACAAGTGGACTGAGTCATGTTGGTAGATGTAGACTACCTGGTTGGGGTCCGCGAGACGAAAGTCATCAATGGTCAGAGACCTTGAACGACATGGCTCAAAATCGTTTACAATGGCGCAGGTGCATCCACTCTTTGAGCTCTCTCAAATCCTAATCTTCTGGATTAGCCAGCACCTCTACCTTTGTCTTTCTAACCTTATCTCACTGAATTATATTTTTTGAATAATATCTTCGAACTCTAGTCTTCTTTATTGTAACATTAATACCTCTACCTCACTATGGGATTTGATTTGACATTTGCGTCTCTGTGCTAATAATGTGGTATGGCAACATGAACTTATGTACATACGTACGAAGTTCTACGTTGCAACTGACTGACTGACACTATCAACAGGTTGTTAGGACAAAATAGAAACGTCAGTAAACTTGACTTAAATATTTAAATTAACTATTTGAAAAATGACTAATCATCTGTTTTAGCTTTAATATCTAGAATTAGTTGGACTAAAAATAAATTTAGGATTTTACAGGTTAGCAATATCTACATTCCAGTAATTCAGAGAAGATACAAGATAAAATACATGTATAAATAAAAAGCGATTTCTATCTGAATGACACATTTGTTTTTTTTAATGCTTTCAAGATTGACTACTTATGAGTAGGTAAATTTTTCAAAGACAAAAAAACACATCTATTAGAACCGTATTTTTCGGGAGTTAACAGTATTAGGTTTCCAGCCTGTGTACATTTCTATATTTTGAGATTAGTTATCATTATTTTTACAATACGCTTTTGAAGTAACATTTTCAAAGATGAATTTCTCGATACCAGTTTAGTCAATAGTTCTACTGAAAAAATCTTTAGGCAAAGTAGCATTGAAGAAGACCAACGCCAAAACACAATCCCTCGGATAAAAACTAGTAAATTTTAACAAGTAATAAACGGTATATGACATTGAACACCATGGAATAACAAATTTTCCTGAAACTTCGCCTTATATGCCCTATTGATAAATGATTCTAACACGATGCAAAAATATTCTGGAGTTGTAGTGAATAAGACACTAAAAAAAAAATGTCAACAGTAAACAAACAACAACTACAAACGATCCAACATGAAATTGGAATAATAAGAGCACATTTTTTTTGGTATGTAAAAATAAATTTTATTTACTTTAATACACTATCACTAAATAGTATACATGACAAAATGACTCTCACTAATTATATGGAGTGGTATGAAATAATAATGTCTGTGTTCAAATGAAATGAGAAATTGTGATAGCGAATACGATGGTGAGATTAATTTGTGTGAGAATGATGTATAATGTTTATTAAGTAGACTTTTTCTTATAATCTGTAATGGCAGCCTGGATAGCATCTTCAGCAAGCACTAGATATTAAATAGAAAAATAGGAAAGATAAAAAGTTTAACTTTAATTGAAAAAAGGGTTAAAGTAAAATGTATTAAACGTAACACAAAATGAAGATTTGTAGAGTTCACTACATTTATAACCTGGGGATTAGGATGATGAGTGAAAGTAGTTAGACCGATGATAAGGCCAGTCAGTTATACTCAACATAAGACCTGAAATGAATGGCTGAGTGAGGATCAATGCCACCAAACTTAGAATTAGTATAGGGGGGAGGAGATGAATAAGAAAGTCCAAACGATAATGTCAATCCTGAATTCCTCATCATCTCTATCCTTCTCTTTCTAACTTTATCTCACTGAATTATACCTGAATATTCTCCATTACTGCTAATACTTCTACTATCTCTACCACTATTGGATTTGAACTGACATTTGTGTCTCTGTGCTAATGCGGTATGACAACGTGAACTGATGTACGTACGTATGAAGTTCTGGATAAATACACAAAAAGCTTCTGCTGTGCCTTTTCTTCAAATCACGCTCATTATTGCAGCACTTCGCTGTTTTCAGGACTACTCTAAGCACAGAAGTCACAAACATTTAAAGTATCACTAACGACTGAATTTGTCAAGAATTTTAGTGTTATGATTTCATTTAAGTATTTAGAAAATGCAGCAGTAGATGGTCGTTTTAACTGTCAAAGTCAAATACTTAAATGTTGTTTCTTATTGGTCATCCTAACTATCAATGTCACTTCAAATATTACTTCCTATTGGTCGTCCTAACTGTCAATGTCACAGAATTCGATGATGGTTCCTATTCGACCAAAATGTATAAATACGCATTATCTGAAACGTTTTATGACCACGATCAGGACCAGGGCTCGGTCCCGGATCTCTAGTCCGGGATCTTGATTCTCTTCTGGATTCGGACCTCGTACTTTCTGGATGCTTGTAGAATACATGTTCTACTTCATATCAAGTCTTATTTCTACTATATATGGGGGTTAGGATAATCGGATTCGAGTAGCATGTCGTGTCACCGGATCCTCGATCCTCGCTCTCGTTTCCCGACTAGGTAAACTCTTAATAGTTCAAGTATATCAAGGTAACGTGTTTACGTGCAGGTGTAACAACTTTGGCGTAAAGTTTACTTGGGCTATGTTACTTATTTCTGTTAAGCGAAAAAAATATATAAAGTATAATCAGTCAACATTAAACTAATGAATGCTAGCTTACTAGAACAATGCAACTTGACTGGTGGAAGTTTTAACTCTTTGGCAATATCGCTATTTTTGATTTTTGCAGCTTCATCAATAGTTTTACCCTTGACCCATTCAGTTGCCAATGAACTAGATGCAATCGCTGAACCACAACCGAATGTTTTAAATTTTGCATCAATTATTTTACCATTTTCATCGACCTGAAAGTTTAAAAAAGTATAAAACAAGAATCGATTTATCACGTGTGGTGGGAAAAAAAGATTAGAAACGAGAGAATGGTGGTAAACTGATACCGCGAGTAATCGATTGCTTCTCACCACTAATCTAACAGCGAATAAGAATTTTGATGAAATATAGTATATAGTTAGGGTCCGACAGTCAGGCCTTCGCGCACAATACCGAAGGTTCTGGGTTCGAATCCTTCGAGGTGCAGGAGTCATGGATGCGCACTGCCACCGGTGAGTAGTCCCATACCAGGACGAAACGGCCGTCCAGTGCTTTCAGGTTTCTAATGGTGGTCTAACAATGATTGATTGATGATTTCAAATGTGTTTAATAACACAAATCTCCAAAACTCTAACTGAAAATATAGTTATTAGTTTAGAAGCGTATAGTTCGAAAGTTTCAAGCTTGTGCCGATAATATGAAACTTTGACGAAAAACAGATCTACTGCAATGTCTTTTATTAGTTGATAATATTTCGCTTCATATCGGTCTACAATAGTTAACACTGAAATGCTAGTAAATGCCTATCTTGGTCTTTTCATTCGATAATTAGACTCCTTTATTTTACAGATTTTTCCTTCCGTCTTCTGTTTTCACGAACTCTGACAAAAAGATCAGTAATAATGAGGATATTAAAAGCTGTTATGAATCACAGATAAGGTATACTAATAGAGACACGTACGTTGAGAAACCATTATCCACCACATCAAAAACAATACTTCATCTCGGTGATGTAAGTTACACTTATGTAGTACGTATTTAATAAGTATAAATTTAAGTGATAATCATTACAAAGAAAACCATACGAATCGAACGAACACCTAAAGCCGGAGACTGTTGAACAATCATTCCTTACTGAATTCTCGGACTTCTTAGTAAGAAGTCGTTATCAGTAAAGTTCAACCATGTGGTCTCATGTGCTGTTACGGGTATGAGGGCGAAAGTCACATCCTGACTACCCACACCGTGGAAGGATGTTTCTTGAAAAACCTGACAAGGAGGTTGGATCAGTGTTGATCTTAACGACCTTGGATCATGACCGCAGAGCCCAAGGGACAACTGCTTGAGGCCGGTCACACACGGCCATTTATGAGAAAATTTTAAAGTGTTAGCTCCGCTATTCAGGAGTCCTTACGACGCAGACAGAAATCTATGAAGTAAGGTGAGATGTGACATTTTTAGGGTCGACCTCCAACCCCTTCCTTCCTTCCTTGTAAGAAGGCAGCATCGCTGCAGATGCTAGTTTTCCGAGGGAAACACCTTATTACTGCTGTCACACCTCTCTACAGTCAGCAGTACGACTTCACCCTCAGACCTTGAGTAGCTGCTTTTAATCTCATCGTTCTCCAATCGACCTGCCTGTCATGGTAGAACCTTCAAGAACATATGTTCCAGCCAATGTAGCTCGGTGGGGTTATCACGATAGGCAAGCACGACCACCACGTCTAGGTAGCAGGTACGGTCGATTGTTCAACCGTGTAGGATGTGAGGTAGTTACCCACCGAAGATAATGATAACGCAATATGGTGGATTGATTGAAGTTAGACAGAAACACTGTTGAATCCTAAACCAGTGGTCTAAAGGTTAGGCGTTCGTGCGCGCGACCGAAGTCCCGGTATGGTGGGTGCTACCTACAAGTTGCTCATAAGTTTTATGCAGCGAACGTCGTGTGGGGACTGTTACAGTCGATAACTGAAGACGAGTGTTCCAGGAGGTCAAAAGTATGGTGAATTCTGAACATTTTTACAACCTTTGACAACCAAAGCAACCATTCTTTTGGGTACATGGAACGTTGGAACATCGTGGGAGACCGGAGGACTATCGCAAGTTGCTGCAGAAATGAAAAGATACAACCTCGAGGTGCTCGGCATCAGTGAAACGCATTGGACACAGGTAGGACAACTGAGACTAGCTTCAGGGGAACTGCTGTTATACTCTGGTCATGAAGAGGAAAATGCTGTTAAAACAAGCACAAAAGGCACTGATAGGATGGGAATCTCATGGACCGAGGATCATTAAAGCATCCTTCAAAACAAAGAAACAGGACATTACATTAATTGAATAGAACTCACCACTCTATATCAACCTCATTGACTACGAAAAAGCACTTAATAGCATGGACAGAAAAACACTATGGAGGCTTCTTCGACAGTACGGTGTGCCTGAGAAGATAGTCAACATCATACAGAATTTGTATGATGGATTAAACTGCGAAACTGTGCATGGACGGCACCTAACAGACTCGTTCGAAGTAAAGACTGGTGTCAGGAAAGGTTGCTTACTCTCACCCTTTCTCTTTCTCCAGGTGATCGACTGGATTACTATGACATCAGCATCTGAAGGGAAATACTATATACAATGGACAACTAGGACGCAGCTGGACGATCTGGACTTCGCAGATAATCTGGTTCTTCTACCGCACACGCAACAACAAATGCAAGAGAAGACAACCAGTAGAGCAGTAGCCTCAGCAGCAGCAGGTCTCGACATACATTCAGGGAAAAGCAAGATTCGACCATACAACACAACATGCGCCAACCAAATCACTCTTGATAGAGATGTCTTGGAGGACGTTAACACCACATATCTGGGCAGCATCATCGACAATCAAGGTGGATCCGATGCAGATGTGAAGGCGCGGATCAGCAAAGCAAGGGCTGCATTGCTACAGTTGAAAAATATCTGGAACTCCAAACAACTTTCAACCAAAACTAAAATCAGGATTTTCAATACAAATGTCAAGACAGGAAACTTGGAGAACTACCAAAGTCATCATCCAGAAGGTACAGACAGACAAATACAACGCAGAACTTCGTACGTAAGTACATCAGTTCAGGTGGCCATACCACATCAGCACAGAGACGCAGCTGTCAGTTCAAATCCAAGAGTGATAGCGATAGTAGGAGTATTAGCAGTGATGGAGAAGATTAGGGAGCGAAGATATGATTCGAGAAGCACAATTCAGTGAGATAAATTTAGGAAGAGAAAGATAGAGATTATGAGGAATTCAGAAGGTTAGAATAAGAGAGATACAAGTATTCATTGACAGTTTTTTATGCAATATACTTCGGATCCGTTGGTTAGACATCATCAGCGACAATTTACTGTGGGAAGGAACAAACCAGATTTCAACGGAGGAAGAAATCAGGAAGAAGCGATGGAAGTGGATTGGACACACCGCAGAAAGCACCCAACTGCGTCACAAGACAAGCCCTCACTTCGAACCCTCAAGGTCGAAGGAAAAGAGGAAGACCAAGAAACATATTACGGCGAGAAATAGAGAAAGATATGAGAAGCAAGAACACCGATTGGACAGAACTAGAAAGGGAAGCCCAGGACAGAGTAGGTTGAAGAACATTGGTCGGCGGCCTATGCTCCATTGGGGGCGACAGGAGTAAGTACTATCGGATGACCGGATACGTTCACTAAAACAGTACTTTTAAAAAGGTAACAGTTACATACACTATAATATCAATGCTTTTGTAAAATAATCCCATGTAAAACATAGAATGTGTATTAAAATGTTATAACAGAAATATATATCTATAAATAGTTGTTTCCCAGAATGGATATCTTACCTTTATTTGGAGCTTCATAACATCTCCACAGGCCGGTGCACCAACCAAACCGGTGCCGACAGACGCGTCTTTTTTATCGAATGAGCCTACATTACGAGGGTTTTCGTAATGATCTATGACATTCTTGTGATATGCCAAGGCATGTTGTTTTAGACATCTTTTAATTGCTAGCTGACATACACCCACACGATGAGAAATCATCGGGTAAGTTGGTCTATTGACCACTTGTACACAGTACTAATAACAAGCACAAGCTAATTACCGAAAGTTAATACATAAAATGAAAGAACTAAAGTTATTGGTTGAAAAAAGAATTCTAAAAAACTTAGGAAAATTATAGAAAACATTAGACTTTTATGAACTATATGGTAAGCAAGTATGCTTATCAAATGCGTACATGTAATGAATCGTCAGATTAAACTCAGTAAGTAACCCGAGTAATTTGTGGGTTATTTTTACTTACTTATTAAGTGGAAAGAGAATGCTAGGGAACGCATCGAAATAGAAACTATTCGTCAATGCTGTCGATAACTAACATTCATGAACAGTTGATTCATAGCTGCTACTAAAATTCGTTTCTATTACCGACAAAAGTACATTATTTACAGGATCCTATCGATTAGGGCCAGAAACTAGTAGCCAAAGATCATCAACCTAAATATTTTAGTCATATATGGGGTATTAGAGATGCGAATAGCTCACCGGTAACAGTTCTGAATGAAGAAGGTCCAGACCTAAAGCAGGGAAATATTTCCTTAAAATTCCAAGACACCCTATTTATAAGTTCAGAGTAGCAATAAACCTGGGCTTAGGGCGTGGTCCCAATAGTTTTCAATCATCTAGCACCAAAGAAGGCAACATGGATTTTGTGGTCAGACCATGAGTCAGCTTCTTGCAAATACATCTTGAGAACTGCATTTAGAGCTATACAATAAGCTTTGGATGAGTACTAATACCATATAGATGAGTTAGTTGTCGTTAATACCTACTCGCGGTCACTCACCAAATATAAAGTCATACTAAGGCCTTCTAGATAACCTAAGAATTCTACGACTTTACCACTTGGTAACCTGCGGAACTCAAAATGACCCCACGCTCTGTAATCCGTTTAATTCGCCGCATTATCATTTCAAAATTCCAGCATCCGAACATACAACAGTAAAAACCGTAGGCATGAAAAGGGGAGGATACATAAGCAAGGATTGGAGCGACTGACAATGAGATGAAGGTAAAATGTATATCTACAATATCACTTAGAAATATGCGGACGTTGAACTGTCAATAACATAGAAAGCACTTCAACTCAACATTGACAACTTATCAAAAATTCGATCTTCAGTATTATAAGTTGGAGAATTGGTGCGTCGGCTAACCGTAATTCATTGATTTTACGGTCGAAAAATAGTCTGCACCGGTCGAAATATTTTAGGCAATTTATTAAGCAACATATATTGTCACAATAGGCTTATTCTCTTAGAAGAAATTTAAGAACTTCCAATAACTGTTACCATTTTTTTCAGTCATAAAAAGTAGCGGCTACTAGATAGGAGGCAAAGTAAAGATGCATCCTAACGAAAGACGTCTTCTCACTGTTCTATCATGTGAGAATTATTTGAGAGGGTTTGTAATGTCATACCCTATTCTAAAATTCCGAAGTTACACACAAAAAGTAAGAATTTTCCGGCTTATGGATTCATGGAAATTATTAAAGGACATTTCTTCGTATCAGAGACAAAAGACTATGCATCACTGAGCAATTGACCCATACCGTTGCGAAGGAATCCGAAAAATGCGCTGTTCCCTTCAATAAACAATGTGGTGACAACGACTGGTTAGTCCAAAACTTCGAGTTGTGAAGATAGTATTTCTTTCCAGCTACAAGTTTCGATGTAAATCAGTGAGTTTTAGCATTCCTACTGGCTCATATATGAAGATGTCATGTTGAACATCTGTAGCAATAGTCAGCATCTGGTTCTGAATGTCACCCGTCGTTGTGTCTTTCAAAAGCCAATCAGTGACATGCTTCTCTACTTACCAATCACTGTTCAAACTTGCCTTCTGAAAAGCCATTCCTGTATTCTGGTTATAGTGGCTTCAGGATATTTGAATAACAGTGGTTTTGGACAATCGGACTATCAATGTTTGTGTTATCTCTATCTTTCTTGGCTGCATATTTGACTGTCTACCATTTGACAGCTAACATTCATGGGGCCTCAACGGTTTGGGTTTCGATCCTAAATTCGAGTTCTTTTTTAAAATATGGGTGAAATTATCATAATTGCAATAATAAATTTATAGTTTCGTGGATCGACAAAAGTTAAATTAATTGTCACACGATACCTAACTAGAGCAATGTTTGATGGCAAGAATATTAGAGTGATGATTAGCTGGCAAGTACATGATGAATAATTTTCTAACAAATAAAAATTTCGTTGTTGCCGCAACAACAGCATGCATTCTTTGTTATTCATGAACTCTATTAATAAATTGATTTCCTCCAAAGACTATCAGCCTTTCGTAAGGGCCTACATTATCAATTTTTGGCTAAACGACCCCATCCACCGGCCGATTCCAACCTGGTTGTAACTTTATGCTCCTTTGTTTTCTGCGAACATATTAATTTTATTCACGCGCATTTTCAGTTCTTGGTTTGCATGTGTTTACTGTCTACATAAAAGTATTCATCGGTAATTAACACACGTTTCACATTATCAGAAGTTTCGTTAGTCTGCATCCACCTATATTGGCTGCATTACCAGTCCACATATTCATTCGTGGATAAAATATCTTCCAGAGGTCTTTCAGAAAAAAACGATGAAAGTATGCACGGTTATATACAGCCCTTATCAATTGCGGATAGAATTTGTATTTTGATATTATTGAGTATGATACACTTAAAGATGTTTTGTACAATATAGAAAAAGGCCTAGTTTGGCCTAGAAGAGCGAATTCTAGTTCAACGGCTCTACAGCGAATACTGAATAATACCGACCCATAAACATTACTTCAGTAGTACCTAGGGTGATGGAGGAAGTAGTAAATGCAACGTCAATGCACCTACTTAATAACAGTCTGATTTCGACCTCACAGCAGGGATTTTAGAGCTCCAGGTCATGCGATACATGCCTGCTAGATTATCTCAGTGATATCACGTAAAAACCAGATAAAGGACTTCTGGTATCATTCCTTTACTTCGACTTTAAGAAAGCTTTTGATTAGGTCCCACACAAAACGCTTTTCCTTAACCTGAAATCTTTTGAGATCAGAACCCACTGTATTCGTGGCTTTTTTTCATTCGCAAATGGAGGCTAAAAAATAGTGAAATATAGCCATCGCCTTCAGATACCAAGACCGATAACCAGTGGAGTTATACAGGGAAATGTATTAGGTCCACTCTTGTTTTCTATGTACATAAGCGATATATGTGAGCTATAAAATTTGGAAGATCATTTTTATATGCGGATGATCGCAAAAACCTACACAGCTATAGGCCTGAAGATCTGGACGAAAACAGAGCCATGATTCAGAGTGACCTTGACAACTTATCTACTTGGAGCAAAACAGCAGCTACCTTTTAACCACAACAAATATGATATCACGCATTTTAGTAAGCATCACCATGAAAAACCACTCTACTTACAAAAATGTAGCGTTCAGACACTCATATCAGCGCTTGATCTCAGTATTCATTATTCCAGAAGACTAAAATTTGAAGAACTTGCCTCTACTATTATCTCTAAATCTAGACGGCTAATCGTGTTTATCAATAAAAAATTCATGACAAATGAGTCTAGGTTTACACTCTTCCAAATGTGTACAGGGCCCTCATTTGAATACTGCTCACTTATATTTTCAAGCATGAATATCATAGACAAGGTACGAGCAGAAAATTTCCAAAGAAGCCTCATACAGTGACTGGCAGAATGGTACCATACTATCGACAACAAAGCAAGATGCAAACATCTTCCCCTAGAACCTCTATGACACCGTCTGTTTAAAACAAACCTAATACCCCACTAGTAAGCAGTATATGGCCTCTCGTTCGTGAAATACCACCCAATTATGGAACACGACACAGCTTACAGAATTAGAGACAACTCATATACACTGCTAACGGTAAAACAAAAACCACTGTGTTGTAATTTCTTTTTCAGACAATACAGTCTATTGTAGATCAGATTAACAGTTTCTATCCATAACTATGATTCATTCACCAGTTTCCAGAAACTAGCAATGCTGCTGTTCGACTGTACATAGATTTATCAACCATTCCCAGAACATATACAAAATCCAGAGGCACTCTTTTATGGCCCACTAAATTTTTAAATTAATCTTAGAAACTAATAACACACCATGAATATATTGCACCTGCATTACCATCCATACATGTATCACGAAATGATTGACGAATTCCCCTACTCCTGCTAACAGTAGTAGGTCAGAGCTCTGACGTGCTGCCCGCAACATTCGAGGCTTCAATAAATTTAAATTCAAATCATTATCTCCAATCTTTCACAGCGCTTTTAGTTTTTATTTCTAGTGGACAGATTGATTGAAAGGCCTGTAGATGCCGCTCAGCTACTGTCAATTACAAGGAACTCAAACTTCCTGTATCATTGTGAGTTCCTTTTTGTTCATGTATTAACAGTTTAATAAATTTCTATTTCTCCAACTAAAAAATATCAAATCGACTTGCTTTATTACCTATTTATCGCCCTACTCATGAATTTTTAACACTAATTTTCCTCTTTTTCCCTCTTCAGTTGCCTATCTTTCTTGTCTCTAAACTACCTATTAACTGACCCTCACCTTAAAATTTATACCATTAGTTAACTTAATAGTAGTGTTATACGGTACGTGGATATTTAGTCCAACATGCAGAAGCCAAAGTTATCTGGTTTGTTTATAACGTGAAGATAGTGGGAAAAGTGTATTACGACAAGGCGCACAAAAAGAAGAGCTTAGACTAAAACACATTATATCAAATCTACCCTTAAACATAAGAGAGCTTTACATTACAAGAGGAAGGAGGGTTGTGTATCTGACCAGCATTCATGACGGAGGAGCGATAACCTGAATTCAACCATGTCTGTGGGGCAGAACATTTTGTTTGCTTGCGGCTTCGTACTATCTAGCAGGGTGTAACTGATCAATGATATTGATGTTACTTTTCATAATTAACCACGTCTACAACTCATATTCGTAACTTTGAACTGGTTTCACTTCCTACCAAGAAATCCTATTACAAGCTGGTCTGGACAACTATACTAAAAAAGAGCTCATTCATAACTTCTTGAGCCTCAGAGTTAAAAATAAAAAGAATAAATAAAAACAAAAAATTATATCAATGATCCTCTTTATTATATTATGTAAATCAACTTTATTACCAACAACTTGGTTCTTCTGAATTTCCTCGATTCTTTCGACTAACTTCTCATTAGTTATCTCACTACTGAATTGTCTTCATTAACCTACATAAGCGCAGGTGTAAAGTGTTCTGATATTAAAAATGTTTGGGTAAACATACATTTGTTTTATCCATAAACGTATGTGCAAAGACATTGTTCGGCTTTGAACATGAATATTTTCCGTTCTGCTCCTCGTCTCGTTTTCTTTATTCCTCTTTTTTCAGAACCTTATTCCAATCAAAATATATTAGTCTGGTGTTTGCAGTAGACTTGGTTACCCTACCCAAGAACATGTGATATCATTAGCTGACGAATATCAACCAGACCTTTGTACATTTACCGCATCAATTCTTGTTATATGAAAACCCATCTGCTTCATGAATCGTTTCTCAGCCCATAAGATGAATGTCGTAACGCAACCTTCGTAACTTGCGCCAATTACTCGCTTTGTACATTCCACCTTTAAGAAAACAACGAATCTTGTGAAATGTTTCAGTAACTGTATAACGTTTTAAAAAAAATGTTGCTAATCTTAACATTTTGATCTTGCCTGTAAATTGGCATGTCTCTTGTAACATGTTTGTTATTTGAGAATAAATTATTATTATTATTAAAAAAACAGTTAGTAAAAAATTTTAACTATCAAGGTTTTTTTATAAACTCCACTCTTTTGACTGAAATTTCGATTTCAACGTACATAAATCCAGCTTCTTCTTACTTCAACTTCTCTTCTTTCCACTCGACACTGCACAACTCTTCCTTCTTCATTGCTGTTATCCTTCATCGATGGGTTATATTCTTATATTCCCATAATTTACTTTAGTTTTAGAGGTCAGTGTAGAATCTATTTTAAAGGTTTAGTTTTTTGGAAAATCCCTCCAGGTATATATATTTGTGTTATGATATGACTGACTCTTTCTGTTGTCATTTTGTTACTCTATTTGATTCCATTTTGAGATTTTATCATTGTATATTGTTAATATTTCTTAGTCTTATACTTATATTGAAGCTTTTATGTTTTCTTCTGAACTGTACATATGTTGTTTAAATTTGATATTTAATATGGCTACAGCCATATTGGAATTTTATACTTTAATCGTAACTGACTGGAAGCATTTATTCTTCCAGAAACGGAACCTGTTGTGGTAATTGGAAACTCGAAGGTGTAATATTGTTTTGGTAATTGTCTGTATTTCCCTTTTATTGTTTAATAGAACCGTTTCCTCCAAGAATTATCGTGTTTTCGGTCCCTGACTGGGTGAACGCGTATGAACCTACACTGTTCGAGCCGGAGTGAACTACCAGAGTAGAAAATCTGTAACATTTCAAAACGATGAAAGGCGGAAGAATCTTTTGGAATTTTTATCGTTTACAATCTCAAA